AATGCTTTTGTGTGTGTGTGTGTGTATATATATATATATATATATATATATAGTCACTATGGAGAAATGTTAGAAACAATAAGCATCTGTTCCTTTAAAAGAATACCACTGACTATCTACCACAAAGCCTGCTGTAGGTAGCTACTCACTGTCTTTATCACGAGGAACAGAAAGCAGGGCTTTGAAGCTGGTTCTCCTGGCATGGCAGGTGAGTTCAGGGCATCTCCTTGGCTTGTCTACTTACATCTCCTATCATGACAGCCTCCTCCGGTGCACAGCCAGTGTCCCTCAATGCTTCCAGAAAGAATGTCTTCTCTGGCTTTCCCACTACTATGGCTTTGGTGTCCGTGGCATACTCTAAGGCAGTCACAAACGGTCCTGGCCCTAGGGCTAAGCCATCTTTCCGCTTGTAATACCTGGCCTTGTGGATGGCTATCAGTGGGGCCCCATCCAGGAGTAACCTAGAAAGAAGGAGAAAATGGAGATGGGCTAAAAGCAAGTCTTACATGACTTGGAAAAAATGTCAGACTTACAAAGTGGTTTTATTCACATTCACAGAAACAAATTGTTTCTTATTAACTTTTAATGACTTGCTGTCTTCTAATGAATTCACAAAGAACTGCTGGGAATTATGCACAGATACACTAAAGAAAGGTGATAGATTATTAAATTTGGGATTGCTTCAACCTTTTACCTTTAGTGATTTCACACACTTTACCCAAATCACCAGGGAAAGAGAATTAAGAGAACTAAAGCTAAATAAGGCACTTGAGGGAAGAAGCTTAACTTAATGAGACGAGTTGTTTCAACCTTCCCTAATGGGAAGCAGGAGGCTCCTGAGCCTCTCAAGATACCACAGGGTTGTTGCTGCAGTGACATATGGGCGTACTCTTGAAGTACTTGGATTTTTGTTTCCTCTACTTTAAAATAGAAGTTTCCTTTTAGAAGTTTAATAGAGAATTTTCTAGTTTTTGCTTGTAATTTTACCTTCTGACTGCTCTCAACACTTTGTAAATCAGGTCATCATCCTGAAGCACTCAATAACAAAGTTTATGGAGAGCCTGTGGTCAAGTCATGACACAAGACAAACTATACGCTCACACTGAACAAGAGGTGCCAAGATTTCTCAGCAGTGTGATAACCGAACTCTGCATATAGCTGAGGAGCTCTAGTGACTCAGGCAAAAACATTACAGATCTCCACAAGATCTCCTTACCTCCCAGTACCCACCCCCAAATCTGCCACCCACCACAATAATGCAGCTTTAGCCAAACAGAGGTAGTCATACTTGGGTTACTGTCTAATGGAATTTGAGATATGATATTATTTCTTAATCTGATTTTAACCAATGTAATAAATGACCTCACTAGCTTAATTTACTTTAAGTCATCTACTTAGTTAAAATATTTAGTATGTCCATGGAGGAAGAATTCATCACATCATATCCCTCACAATTATGAGTAATTAAGCGCTCAGCTATGAAACTGCTAAATTATTCTTGTCAGTGGGCATGGAAATAACTTCCTGTGGGAGATGCAGAATTCAGACATTCATGATTAAATATTTTATTAAGTAAAAACCAATACTGGACTATTACAGGGGTTTACTGTTAGTTACTACAAATTGCTCACAACATAAGACAGAGCCTTCAAATTTATTCACCAACACTAAACTTATTTCTGAAAGCAGATCTTGAAATTCAGTATTAGAATAACCCTAAAAAGCCCGTGCTGGCCTTAAAGAACCACAGATGTGAGGCAGTGATGGGTGACTCATCTACCCCGCCTCCCAATCCCATTTATTTGTTTCTGTACCACGGAACTGGAATTCTTTATGCAACAGACCTCAAAATTGCTTTCCACTTATATAGCTAAACTAAAAACTCATTTGATTTAGCTCTGTTAATATTTTATTATATACTAACTGGGGATGAGACTTATCAGCCTGATTGATGTGTATACTTAATTCCGAGGCAGTATTTTAGTGCCTTCCCTGGAAGGGCTGAACCTGTGGGCTCCCCTCCATTTCTCTAAGTGGGAACTGGCTCTGCACAAGGCTGGGAAAGATGTGCATCTCTGGGAGGCGGTTCCTGCCTCTACTCTTCCTGCTCAGCATGAGTTCCACTGGATCTTGGAAGAACTAAAACATATTTAGGCTGAATGGAAAGTAAATGTTTTCTAGGACACAGATTTAAAAGTCTTTTATGGCTTAATATGTCTGAAAAAATATAAAACATCGAGCCAGTAGACAGGTGTGGTGACACATGCCTTTGATTCCAGCACTTGGGAGGCAAGGGCATGTGGATCTCTCTGAGGTCAAGGCGAGCCTGGTTTACATAGTGAGTTCCAGGCCAGCCAAGGCTACACAGTGAAAACCTGTCTTTAAAGAGAAGGAGAGAAAGAGAGAGACAGAGAGAGAGACAGAGAGAGAGACAGAGAGAGAGACAGAGACAGAGCAAGCACATGCCAGGCATGGTAACACACACATGAATTCCCAGAACTTGGTAAGGAGAGGCAGGAGGATCTCAAGTCACTACATAGTGACACCCTGTCTCAAGGAAAAAAAAATTATACTTGGAGTACTTTTTTGTTACATTTTATTTATTCATTTTTATTTTATGTGTATGAGTATATTGCCTGCATGTATTTAAGTGCGCCCATGTTGAGCAATGCCTGTGGAGGTCAGAAGAGGGTGTCAGATCCCCAGGAACTGGAGTTACAGACAGTTAGCTGCCATGTGGGTGCTGGGAATCAAACTCAGGGCCTCTGCAAGAGCAGCCAGTGCTCTTAACTGCTGAACTTTGTCTGCAGCTCTGCACTTGGAGTGCTTTTATACCTACTAAACAGGCAACAAGGGGTGGTTTTATGTTTCTGTTACTAGAAATTACATATCAGCAGGGAATCTAAAATTTTCTAAGTATAAGCCTGTTGTGACATAAGAAATAAAGAGAAAAGCAAAGAAGGCCTGACAACAAAATCTCTGGCTGTAAATTCCAGGTAGTAAAAACAAAAAAAATCCCAAAACAAAACAAAAATGAACAAATCCTAGCCAGGGAAAAGAACTATAGTAAGAAAATTTCAGGCAAGGCAGCAAGAGAAAAGCTGAGTGGATAATTAAAATTCAAAACCACAAAACGCTGTTGAAAGGGACTTTAAGGCCCATCAAGTCAAAGCTGCTTTGTTTCATAGGGAACCAGAACCAGGGTTAGAACCTGGAACTCTAAAGCAATCTAGCACTCTCTTAGATACACTCCACTAGTTTTTCAGATAACTTCACCTTCTCAGGACCATGCCAGACTATCATCACTTCCACTGAAGATGGGCTGCAGCTTGAGTAACTGTCAAGCACCACATGTCCAACAAACGAGTCTCCCTTGCCCTGGTCCCTCAAAATCTTTCTCCTCTAATCTTTTCCATCTCAGTAAACTCACCCAGTTACTCATGCCTGAAACCCAGTAGTTATCCTTGATTTCTTACTACCCTTCACTACCTCCCATGCCACCCCAGTAACTTCTTTCAAAACAAAAACTAAAGTGTCTCAAAACTGTCTTGGTCTCTCACCTGAACTACAATAGCCTTCCCACTGGTCTTCCTGCATCTGCTCTTGCCCTATTACTCCAATAAACTGCACAGGCAACAGTGGGAATCTAAACATCACCCACGTGATCATGTTCTTTTCCTTCTTAAAATCCTAATAAGTTCTCACTGCAAACACTATGAAATGCAAGTCCTTTACACAGCCTGTTAGGCCCTTCCTGTGTTCCTCGACTTGCCCCATCTCATCTCAAGCCACCTTCTTACGGTGCAGATACATAGACACCCCTGTCCATTCACATTTCCTAAAGAATTCCAAACTGTCTCCTGCCTCAGTGTACCCATGGTGTTCTCTCTACTTGAATGGTCCCATGCTTTTCATACAGCTTTCTCCTGCCCATTAGACAGGTCTCAGCTTAGATATTAGGGCATCAAGGAAGGCATTCCCAATCTCCTTATTTGAAGAAATGGGCTTCTCTTCACATGTAATGTGTTTATCTCCTGTTTTCCTGTACACCACTTGTCATGATGTGTAATTCTATCCAATGGTGGTTGGTCTGTCTTCCTCATTGGAATGTAATTTCCACAAAGCCCTTCAGTTTTACTCATTGCTGTATTTTTGCTTAAAAAAAAAAAGTAAAAGAAAAAGAAAAAGACCTGGTAGGCTGGAGAGATGTTTCAGCAACTAAGAGCACTGGCTGCTATTGTAGAGAACCTGGGTTTGGTTCCTGGCACCCACATGGTGGCTAACAACCATCTATAACTCAAGTTCCAGGGGATCTGATGCCCTCTTCTGACCTCTGTGGGCACTGCACATGCCAGTGCACTTATATGCACACAGGCAAAATACTCACACAATAATTTTTTTTAAAGACATATGATTCTGCCAAGTATGGTGGTGCATGCCTTTAATCCCAGTACTTGGGAGGCAGAGGCAGGCAGAGCTCTGTGAGTTTGAGGCTAGTCTGGTCTACATAGCAAGTTTTAGGCCACCTGGGGCTACAGAGAGACCCTGTCTCAAAAAGACCAGAAAAAAACCATATGATTCTAAATTAATTACTGAATGAATCTTTGTATGTCTCAGGGCTGTGATCATTAACAGGGGAAATAATACATTCCTGGGAGATAACATATAACATGCATGTAGGCAACCTCATAGTATCTCTCTGACAATAATGACAACTATTTTATTCATAAATAATGTACCATATCTACACACTTAAAATAGCAACAGCACATCATTTCATGTTTGTGAGCCTTAGTAATGGGGCCAGAAATGAAATGACTTGCTGAAATTCATTAAGACTTTTTGTAGAAAGATGCCCTATATGTTGCAGGAAGTTTAGCACTACTTAAAGGATGCTGGACACAGGGTTACTACACAGAACCCAATGACACGTCTATGTATTAGCAACAGGAAATAAAAATAAAATTTAAGAAAACATCATTACAATAACATAAAGTATTATGAAATACAAGAATTAATGTAACAAATTAAAGAAGCCTCAGTAGCAGAGTAGGTAAAGCCTCAGTCTATCATAACAGAACAAACTATGTCTAAGATCCATACATACTTTAAAAACCACTAGTCTTTACCCACCAGATGCCAGTGGCACCTTTCTTCCTCAGTTATGATATCTAAAACCTGTCTCCAGACACTGTGAAATGTTCCCTAGGAGGCAAAATTATTCCCAGTTGAGAACCAGTGAGCAAGACAATTGTCAGTGCATTAACATTCAACATGTTTAAACCTGATACCAATAAACATGGCAAACTACCCAAAGTTCAAATTAAAACAATAGTGAATCATGAAAAGGGAAAACTCCATTAGTATTTAATTACTTGGGACCCCCTCAGAATACCTCCAATGTCACATTAATGCAGCAATTCTCTTATTAATTACTGAAAAGATGAGGACTCAATTTCCA